CCTGCTCCCGAGCGCGCACCGGGGCCCCACCAAGATAAAACCCAAGGCATCACCATGAGCTGCTCAGCCCGCAGCGGAGGCAGCCGGCGGGTCCCTCACCCAGCGTCCCAGCGACCAAGCAGGTGCCTTCTTTGGTGGCAACATACAGATACACAGGCACAAGTGGCCATGTGCATCCTCATGGAGCCCTGCGTCCCCGGAGCAGCAGGACGGGCTGAGCGGGGCCGAGAGCCGCGGACAGCGCTGCTGCGGGACCACGGCCGGAAAGCAGCAGCGCTGAGAGGTGAGAGCCTGCGGGAAGCGGAGCTCTCTCGCTGAGGTGGCGGTAAGAGGCAGCGGGGCAGCTCTAAGGAGGTGAATGTAAAAGCTCTGCCCGCACGAGCCCAGAGAGGCAGGGGCTAGCCTGGCCAGCATGGGAGCCTGGTCCTTCCTTTTTCCCGGAAAGGAGGGGCGCGGGTCAGCTTCAGTTCTCTGCAAGTGCTTTCGTTATACGAGGAACGTGTTTTAACAACATTCGGTATTTATTCCCAAGGTAAGGCTCAAAAGGCAGGACAGCAAAGCCCCCGCAGCGTGCAGTTCAGGCCCCAGCCGGTGTCCAGCAGGAAGCAGGAGCCAGAGCGCAAGGCGGCAGGTACCGGCCGGACGGTCACTAAGCAAGCTCCACTCCCTAAATAAAGACTGAGTCTTCCTCCCACTGGAAAAAAAAAAAAAAAAAAAAAAAAGTTGGGGGAGATTAGCAGGAGTACTTTTTTCCCTCACTCCCCCCTTGCAGTGGTGTTATAAATAGGTCGCCTTCAGATCTTGGTGCAGTACAAAAGGAGCCCGAAGCTCTGAAGTGACCACACAAACCAATCCGTTGGGGAAACAAATTCGAAACAGTTTCCAAGAGCAGGGCTCTGCCAAAGTGCCAGGAGGGAATGGTGTGAAAGGTTCCCCCACCCTCCGTCCCCCTCTCCAGTGAAACGACCCCGCTCCCTGAACAGAGATATTTACTCTCCCACGGCTTAGAGGTGGGGGCAGGACCTGGGGTCCTGGATCCGGCACCCCGGAGTCCTGTCGTGACTCTCCTCAGCCATCCCGCCGCCGCTCTGGCTGCAACCATTGGGAATACCAGGAGGACGGTTTGAGGGGACATCGCGAGTTTCCCTCGGCGGTGTCTGGGAAACTGGGGAAGAGCATTCTTGCCTCCTCCCCCTGGCCTCCTGCGAGAGCCGGGCTCGTCCCAGCAGCCGTCCCGCCTGCCCGCTCTCCGCAGCCCTGCGCTGCCGCGCCCGGTGTGCAGGGACCAGCGGAAACCTCTGCCTTTTCCCTGGACTTGACACAAGCCTGAGTGTTTAAATCACACGGGAATAAAGATTTATTTTTCTTCCAGAAATCGAAATGCAGGATATGCCCGCCATCGCCTGCGCCTCGCTCCGGGTCCTCACCCGGGAGTGACGCCCGCCCTTGCCTCGGCGGAAAGGAAACAGCTCCTCGGAAACAAGCCAGTCGGGGTTGCCCGGGGCTGTTTCTTCCCCCTGGGGTGTCGCCGGCAGGCGACACCTGGAACGCCCAAAACTGCAGGTTCCTGACCATTCCCCCATCTATTACTCTGTCGGTGTGAGCTGCCGTCCATAAAGGCGGGACCGGTTGGCTCTCTCATGGGCTCCTGCAGCTCTGGGGGAGAAGGAACCCTCGCGAGTGACCCCTTCCAAAACCAACAGCGACTGTACCTGAAAATTATATCGATATAAAGCCCACATACACATAGAAATGGCAACCGGTTGCTACGGAGCGGACACCTTTCGGCCGCTCTTTCTCCCTTTCCTTTTGGATGCATTTGATGCAGGGGCAGGGCAGGTTGGGGTCATTCGGAGGAAAAATGATGAGATCGTGTTTCAAATAGTGCGCGTCCCCTGGTGCCCTTGCTCTGCGGATCCTGGGTCCCGCAGTCGGGAATGCGGGGATGCCGGGCGGGCAGAACGCCGCGGCCGGATGGACACGGCCGTCCCGGCTGCGCCGCCACACGCAGCTCCGTCTCCTCGTTTAACAGGAGGGCGGCCACAGGCTCCGTGTGCTTTGGTATTCCAAGGCTCCGCTCCCGGCTAACGGGGGCTGAGGGGAATCCCCCGTCACACTTGCTGAGAGAACTGCACGCCAAACCTAGTCCAGCTAAACGAAAACAGTCAGGAAAAATGATTTCCCGGTTATTCCCCCCCATCGCCTGCTAGATCGCCAGGTATTTGCGCACATCCTTTCCCCCGGTAACGATTCCCGAATTAACCTTCCGCTTCTAGGGACGCAAACTGGTTCTCAGACAGAGGGTTCCATTGCTGTCCTTTCTGAGCTCAGAGGATTAGCCCCGATTTGAAATTAATGGATTTTTCGTTATAATTTAATGTAAGGAAGGTCTAGCCGAGCTTTCTGACCGAAGGGACCCTGGGCAGCCCTCCTTCGGGTCGGCCACATTGCACTGCCTTTCCGAGCCAGTGCATTGCAGCGTTTCTTTAAAAAATATATATATATATGTGTGTGTGTATGTATACATATGTGTGTGTGTGTGTGTGTGTGTGTGTGTGTGTGTGTGTGTGTGTTTATAATCTCCTGCCCGATTCCCAAATCTCTCCCTTTAGTTTTTTTGCTCTTGCTGTTGTTTAACTTTGCCGAAGAGAAATTCCGAGGCCGAATATAATGCTGTAGCATCGAGAACTGCCCTCACACCATTTCTTTCAGACTTCTTTTTCGTTCCCCCAAAAAATCGCTGGGGAATGAACTGGGAAACACGTATTCAAAGCGTCCCTCCGCCGTAAGCGACGCTGAGGGTCTGCTGCGGAGGAGCTGAAGATGCGGGAGCTGAGCTGCTACCGGTACCCAGGGCAGCTGCCCTTCGGCGGAGCCGCTCGCAGGCTGCCGGTACCGGCAGTACCCAGGCTCCCTTGGCCGCCCCGAAGCGGATTTTAGAAATGCTTTCATGCATTGAGTTGGTTTGGTTTTTATTATGTGGTGGACGAGGGAAAGAAAGGGGCCTACAGTGGGGTGGGTAAGTTTGGGAGGGGAAAAAGAAAGGACGAGAAAATAATTAAGTAGAGGTAATAAAGAGAATAAGGAAGGCAAATCCGCTGAAAGCTTTCTTGGACTAGAAAACTCGGCGAGCCCGGCCCTGCTCTGAGGGAAACTCGCAAAATGGTTTAAAATCTCGTAAATGAATCCGTCTCTGGCTGTTTTTAACGACGACGTCGCTAGAAACCCCTTCTGCATCTGGGGGGCGAGGGGTGGGCGCCTATTCTTGTCAGATCCAAGCAAATGAAAACGGCGGTGCCGCTCTTGCTCGTGGAGCAAAGGCCTGGAGGGTGGCGGTGGCCACGAGCCCCTCCCGAGCCGCCGTCTCGGGGGTCGCATTCCCATTCTGCCGTCCCGCTCCCCCTTGAGCGGCGTCCCGCTCCCCCCCGCACACACAGATATACACTCACACTGATGAAAGCCACGAGTCCCCCCGCTCTGCGCGGGGTGGGGGAAGCTACGCGGGAGAAGGGAGGACACATGGTCCGGGCCCCGGGGGGAGCCCGCTGGGAGCCCAGAGCAGCCTCCGGTGCCCCCGCTCCCCGCCCGCAGCCTCCTCCGCTGCGGCCCGCGCTCCCGAAGGGGTTAAGGTTCTTCTTGTCTTCCCTTTCCATTACTCTTTTTTTCTTTTATTTCTTTAAACTTTACTTTTCTTTCCTTCTGAAGAACTGTGGATTTAGTTTGCGTAATATCTTTATTACTGAAAACTTCAAGGTAAGTGAGCAATAGAAACCAGATGTGGGGATGGGAGGAAGGCAGGGTAAGAGTAAGTAAGGGGTAGCAGGAGTTAACTGGGGGAGGAGGGGAATCAGGTTGAATGGGGCGGGGGGGGGAGGGAAGGACGACGAAAGGTGAGTATTGATTTATTTTTAAGCTCTTTCTGGGTTGTAATTGACCCCTCAAACCAAAAAGGGCTCATGCCAGCCTCTGTCCCTTTGCAAGTCACCTCTGGCTATCCCAGAAGCTTGGTCCAATTCTGTGTGCTTGGTGACCCTGTTAAAATCCGTCCCTGCTGCCCTCCCGTTTGGATCCGGTAGTTTTAAACCTGAAGAGAGCACGTTTTTAGAGGTAAATAAATAATGACCAACATAAACGTGTGGCCAGACCCGACGGAGAGCTCGCCCGGCTCTGTGCGGGGCGACCGCGGCACCGCCGTACCACTGTAGGGAAACTGCTCACTGCAGCGATGGGAGACCTGTCGGCCCTGAAGGGGTTAACGGCAGGGGGGAAGCTTAAAGGCAGATAGCTGCGGGGAAAATCCGTATTGCCTTTAGTAGAGAGGAGGGGGTCGCAGAGGCGAGGGTCCCCACAGCTGGGGCAGTGAGCAGAGGAGAGAGCCGGAGTGAACAGAGCATGTCACGACCATTAAATCGTCCCCGGCGCTTCCGCCGGCGCCGATCCCGCACTCATCCCTTCGTGGTGTTTATGTCATCTGCTTGATTTTCTGCTTTTTAATCATAAAAATTTTGGGGCTGGTTTGTTTTTGTGGTATGGTTTATTTTTTATTTTTTTAAGGCAAAAGATATGACGTCCACCTTCCCTCTGCTTCCACACACTCTCATACACACACACACAGCCCCCCCTTCCTGGGCCCCCTCCCCTCTACTGTCATCATCTACATATTAATTGGGGGAGAGGTCTCCCTCTCTCTCTTTTTTTTTTCCCCCCCTATGTGGTGGGGGGGAAAGTGCAGAGAAGAGCCTCTTTACAGTGTAGTTTAGAGGGAGACACGGAGGGCAAGCGTATGTGAGAGAGGGAGGGAGGGAAAGAAAAAGACCCCTTTTACTGTGTGAGAACTTAAGGGGGTTTGGAGATCTGGTCAGCTTTCACGAACATCTGAATCCTCTTAGAGCTCCCCGGCCCAGCTGTGAGTGTGTGTCTATGCGAGAGGGAGAGAGAAAGAGTGGTTCCTGGTGCCCCTCCAAGCGCATTAAGGACACTCGGGCCTTTTAATTTTAGGAATGAATGCTGATACTTGTGTTTCTTATTGTGATCCGGCTGCCATGGATTCCTACTACAACGCAGCCTCCCAGGACACAGAAGGCTCCTCGCCTTTTAGGGCATTTCAAGCAAGTGACAAGTTCAGCCCTACTTTCCTGGCCAGCAAAGGACAAGGCTTTGGTGACAGCAGCACTAAGTGCCGGAGCCGCTACAGCCAGCAGGAATGTCAGTCCCTGGATGGCAGCGTGCAGGCTCCCGGCTCTGCCGGGTCTCCGGCCTCTTTTAACAAATACCCTCCGCAGCAGCAGCCGCCGCACCTCTACATGCAGCGAGGCCCCTGCAAAACCCCCCCGGACAGCAACATCAAGCTGCAAGAGAGTAGCGGCCACAACGGAGCCCTGCAGGTCTCCTGTTACGGTGAGTCCTTGGCGTGCGGCGGGGAAGCACTGGAGGCGAAAGCGGAGAGAGACTCCCGGGCCTGGGAAGGGCCTCCCGGGAACGTGGGGGGTGGCTGCCCGGCAGGACAAACCCTACCGGGGTCAAGGAGACTTTGCCCGGCTCCGGCGCGCAGCCCCCTCTCGCCGCAGCGGGGGCCGCTGTGCCCCACGAATATCTGTCTTCATTCCCAGCCGGGTCTGGAGCCCGCGATGCCCGCGGGAAGCCGCCCTTCCCCCGTGTCCCGCTTAGCCGTGATCTGAATCGTAATTTCGGAATGCGGGCGATGGGCTCCCGCCAAGCGTTAGCTCTTGAGCAGTGCGGGGAACTCCGCGGAAACCGGGGCAGAAACAGAAAGAGCGGAGCGTCAGGCTGTGCAATGTACTCCCCGCGGGGATCGTTTTCCACAGAAAGAATTTATGAAAAATTTATCCGAAATCATCGCTTTTCGCGGTAACGACCTCTCCTGTCTCTCACTTTCTCCCCTAATTGCCACTCCCCTAATTGATTTCTGCCCGGCTGCAGATAAGCCCCTCGCATCTCCTCCGTGGGTCATTAGCGGCAATTAAGACACTCCCTCGCTCTGGTGCTCGACAGTACAGCCGGCAACGGGGGCGCTTCTCATGTCGTTTCCGACCGTGGCTTTAAAAGGCTTCTTCGGGAGGTTTCTGCTGTATCGGGGCGGTTAGGAAAAAGCAAAACAAACAAACAATCAGCCCCCTAAAAACAAACAGAAAAATTCAACGATGAAACAAATAAACACCCCTACGTTTTCCCAGGAAGAGAAGGTGGAAATGAAAGCTCTCCCTTTCCCTCCCCGTGATCTCTTTGCGGGCAGAGGTTCTAGATTCAGAGCGCGTCTCCTCTGACCGGGTCCCATTCTTGATGCGTTAGTCTCAAATGCAAGGACAGCTATAGTTCCTTGTCTCCAGGGAGACCCTAAGACGGGTAGTGACTACGGACTGGGGGCACAGAGGAGGTGGAAGAGGTCCGGGTCAGGCCAGCAATCCCACTTCTAGGCTCTCGCCGTCATTTGAGCGCTCTTTGCCCTCTTTACCCTTTTCCCCCATCTCTAGACTTAAAAGAGGGGAGAGGCGCTTTACTTCTGCCTGTCTCCCAAACCCCGGCTTGCCAGGTCGCCTTCAGGCGCCGTCCCTCGCCCCCTGCTTGCAGCTGAAGTGTCTCCGGCCACAGCCCCAGTTCCCCACGCACAGGTAACTCCACAGCAAAAGGACACGAAGTCCTCTCCATACAGACGTGCCCGGGAGCCACAGGCATAGCCCAGCCACGCTGCGCCCGGACGGGTTCCAGCCCGGACCCGCACGGATGCTTCCCACACCCGGTGGCACAACCATCCTCCAGCGGGTATCTCCTGACCGGGCCGCGGAGTGGCAAGAGGCCTCTCTTTATGGGCTGCTTACACACTTTTTCTGGCCAGAACTGGGGCTTTGACCCTCTCCTACGCTCCCTCTCTTTCCTAGTCCTTTCCCTGTGGGTGGACAACCCCCACCAGCGTCAGGGCCGCTCCTCATCCGCGGGGGCCTTCTGAGACCAGCCCGGGCTCCGCGGGGAAGGACGCACGGTGGGACCGGGGAGACCTGCGGGGCTGCGGCCCGTGCAGGAGGTAACCGGTCCCCGCTCCCTCCGGGAATGGGATCTCAGGGCAGCTCCCCGTGCCTTCCCCGCCGCCCTGACATCCTCTCTCTGTTAACCGGCTCTCTTGTTTTTGTAGGTTGCAAAGCCCAGGGCGCCGGCATAGCCTGTGATGACACATTACAACCCCCCGGTAGATTCACGCGAGTTTATTGCCCTCCTAACGCCGCCGGGGTTCCCCTGATTTATTTTCAAGCGAGGCTCGGGGTTCTCCTTCAGTGGGAGCCCGGCGGCGGGTGGCCCGGCCCGGCCCGGCCCAGACCGCGCTCGTTGTGAGCCCCTTGTGATGTGGCTGGGGACGGTGGGCTATAATGAGAGACACATGGTTCGGCAAGGATAATTAATAGCAATAGTGATAATAATAGTGCTTAATGGTTGAAGAGAGAGAGACTCGCTAATAACAGACAGATCGGGGTTTCGCGGAGCAGGCAACATCCATAGGCGCCTCTCCGCCTTTTCCCAAACCACGAGACCACCGCGCCGGGCGCGGAGTTGTGCCCGAGGAACCCCGCGAGGGCTAAAGGGACGGGGAAACCTCCGAGTCGGGGCAGACCCCTCTGCGCGGGTGAGCGCGGGGGAAGAGAGAGCGGTCCTTGTTCTCTGCAGCGGGCACAGCCAGCGCGCACACGGCACTCGAGGCGGGTGAGGAAAGCTGTCCGGAGAGGTTTGCTCGGGAAGCCGGGGACAGGCGGCTGTTCCGCTGCTTCGCGCAGACACCCCGCTGCAGCTCCGCAGCCGTACTGGTACTGCCGCTGCCGTGCGCGCTGCGCAGAGGTGAAGGAGCGCGGCGGGGACCACTGGGTCCCTCGTCCCCTCTTGTCCGGGCCTGAGCAGGATGCTGGATACCGCGACTGTAAACCCCTCAATTTTAAAAGCAACAAAACCCCAAAAGAAGAAGGGAAAAAACCCAACTAAGCGAAACACAAAGCAACCAGCAGGCAAGCTCTCCTGCCGGGCGATACACAGGCGGCCGGCTTTGCCCGCGCCTGTCGTTGCGGCCGGCCCACGGCCCGGCCCGGTCCGGTCCCCTCCTGCAGGGTGCTGCTCCCCGCACGGCGGCCCCGGAGCCCTCGCCTCCGCCTTTGCCCCGGTCGCTTCGAGGCCCGGGGGAGCCCGGAGCACGGGGGCCGGGCCGGCGGGGCACGGCGGGCATGGCACGCACTCCGCGTGCCGGAGGGACAGGGTGTCCCCTCCTTTTTTTAGTTGTTTAATTCCGTTTTATTTCTTTAATAAACAAGTCTTTTTTTGAGTTATAAAAAGCCCGAGCCTGCCATCTATTGCTCTCGGCTTCTATTTCTAGATCTAAGACCTTCCACTGCATTGTACAGATAAATATAGGCCAGGGAGAGCTGCGGCCGTAAATACTCGGAGGACACGGACGGCAATCGTCGGAGCGCTTCCAGCCCGGCTTCTGGCAGGGATAGTGGCACTGGGCTGCCCTGGCTCTCGGCCGGGCTCCCTGCGGTCCCCTCCCAGTGGTGGCTGCCAGCCTGTCCCTATGGGGTTCCCGGCACGGCTCCTCCTGTACCTACCTGGAGCCTGCTGCCTCTGCACTGCTACAGGCCGGCAGCCTCGCACTGCTTACCCCGTGTTCCCTGCCTCGAATAGGGGTACGGGTTATTCCGCAAACCGGCACGGGCAGTGAAAGCCGAATTCTTAACTAAAAGTCATAGAATCAGAGAATCTTCAAGGTTGGAAGAGACTTTCAAGATCACCTAGTCCTGAGAGCAGGTTATATATCTTGGCTTAGGAGGGGAAGAAACTTTCGGATGATTTATGTGCTGTAGTAATCTGACTTGCTATTTCTACTGTGTGGAGCTGAAGTAAGTTATATTTCTTGAAATATATGCATTCACATACCCCTATACATACAGAAATGTATATGTATATTGCTGTCTAGAAATACCGGCTGGAACAAAATCCTTTTGTGAGTGAAGGCGAATATGATGGGGATATTTGCTCAAAGGAAACAGTAGAAAGGAAACGGCTTTCTCTAGCAGAGGAAATTCTTTAAGTACCGTGTTATGCAAATAACGACCTTTTTTTTTCATTCAGCTCGCAAATAAAAAGTGCGGCCGTATGTTAATATTACAAGTACAGAAAGCCACCGCTGTAGGAATCGGAGGCTCGTTGAGTGCTTTTTAAATTGACACTTTTAATGGATTTCTCCTCCTCCTCCTTCCCTGATGTAACGTAAGCTGCAGGCACGGCAGGAACGAGCTCGCTGGCGGTCCCTCTCCGCCTCCCGCGAGAGACCGCTCGCTGCCAGGCGCTCGGGGCTCCCCGCGGCGCCGCGCCGAGCCCCCGCCGACGTCCAAGGGCTCTGCGGAGCTCGCCGTGCTCCGGGGAGGGCCGGCTGTGTCTGCCCCTTCCCGCTGCCCCTTCTGCCGCAGCCCCACGCCCGGAGCCGGACGGGATAACGGGGCCGTGCGCTCGCTCCCCTTGGCACTCCCGCAGGGCTCCCCCACCTCGGGTGATGCCGTGTCCCCGCACCGCCGTCCGGGCACCCCTGCTAAGGATCTCCGCAGGACCGGCTCTGCCGGGAGGGGGTTGGCGGACCCTGCCCCTCGCCCGCCGACAGCCCGGGGTGCAGAGGACTTGGGAAGGGGTGTCCTAAGCTGCGGCGGCCCTTCGGTCGTGCGTCCCTTCCCTCGCCGTGGGGCTTTGATCTGGGCTCCTCCGCCGCGGCTAAGAGCGCAGGCGGGGCGGCAGGATGGGTGCGCGGCCTCCCCCGCACCTCTGTCGGCCGGGGTGGCGAGATGCTGCTGCCCTGAGCCCCGCGGGGAGCAGCGAGCGGCTATAAAGGGGAGAAGTGCGCGGGAGGCAGGCGCGAGTGGGGAAGCGGGGGAAGGGGACACGGAGGGGACGTGATCCAAGCTGGCATCAGGGAGCAGGAGCCGGCAAGCGGAGGCAGGAGGGCGGGGAGGCGAGGCGAGCTTCAGGGAGCAGGGCGGCAGAGCCGGCCCTTCCCTCCCGCTGATGTGGGACCGGCTGCCCGGCGAGGCTCGGCCGCCGGCTCCCTGCGTGCTGCTGACGCCGCCCTGGCAATAGCCCTCTCTTTTCCACAATAGGGCCACCAGATCTGCCATTCAAGGGTTCCGGCACCCTCCCAGGGAGGGGAGGGAGCTCTCGCCAGGAGTTTGGCTAAGCCTGTGTTTGAACAGACACTCGGAGGTGCGGGATCTCCTCCGCGGAAACCTGCGGGATTTCCTCAGGGAGCCAGACGCGAAGGTAGGGCTCACGCTCCTTACCCCTAGGGCCGCGCAGGAACGTTTATTCGCTGCTCTTTCCAAAAGGTGTTTTGCGCTTCTCTTGAATTGGTCGGTAGA